TGACTTCTCTGTATATACTTCCTTTCCTGTGTCCCCACCTGCTGCATTATGTGTGCTAATCATAATGCCCCGTTTTCCCCCTTATCCCTCCCTTCCCACCCATCCTCCCCAGTCCCTTTCCCTTTGGTAACTGTTAGTCCATTCTTGGGTTCTGTGAGTCTGCTACTGTTTGGTCCTTCAGTTTTTTGTAGAAGCAGAATTTTTAATACTCTAAGTTTGTATAAATTCAGACTAGATTGCTGTAAATTTAAGAAGTTAATTGCAATCTGTAGAGTAAGGTGATAATTTTAATCTCAGAAAATAATTACATGTAGTTCCATTTATATGAAATATCCAAAAAGGTGAATCCATAGAGACAGAAAGAAGATTAGTAGTTTCCAGAGGATAGAGGAAGGGGGCAGTGGGGTGTGACTGCTTAATGAGCAAGGGATTTCCACATAGGGTGATGAAAAATTTCTGTAACTAATTGTAGTGATATTTACATAATATTGTGAATGTACTTCATGCCACTAAGTTTTACACTTTAAAATGGTTACCATGCTAAATTTTATGCTCATTGTGTTTTAGTGCAATTTTTAAGTATTACAGAAACATAAGCAGAGTGGTATTGGCATAAAGATAGACATGTAGATCAATGGAATGAAATTAAGAGTCCACAAACAAGCCCATACATCTATAGCCAGTTGATTTTCAACAAGGATGTCCAAAGCTTTCAGTGGTGAAAGAATTGTCTCTTCAGCAAATGGTGTGGGGTCAACTGGATATGCACATGCAAACAAATGAAGTTGGACCCTATCACCCATTGCATAACAAAAATTAACTAAAGTGAAACAATTACCTAAATATAAAAGCTAAAACTAAAAATCTTTTAGAAGAAATACAGGAAATCTTTATGACCTTGGATATGGTAATTGAATCTTAGATGTGACATCAGAAGCCCAAGCAATAGACAAAAAAAATGGACAAATTGAACTTCCTCAGTATTGAAAACTTCTATGCATCAAAGGACATCATTAAGATAGTGGAAAAGACAATGCACAGAATGGGAGTAAATATTTGAAAATCGTACCTGATGCAGGCTTAGAATGTAGACATTATAAAGAACTCTTAAAACTCAACAACAATATCCATCATATCATTGATAAGTTTTCACAAATGCCTAGGGGTACCTAACTGGTTTTCTTGGTTTCACTGGATATGGCTGGTAATTGTAGGTCTGCTTTTGTTATGTAGCTGTATTCCTATTATGCTAATGTATGTGCACAATTTAATTAGTAGTTTAAAACCTATACATGCTTATGTTACTCTGCAAGAAGATATGTCAAAGAAATAATCAATCTTCCCATGTTTTCTTCCATCTGCTACTTCTATAGCTTTTCTTCTTCCTTCCTAATTACAACCCTTAAATAGAATTCGTGCCTCATATCGAATTTACCGAGTATCATAATTCCTCCAGGTGGTAAAGATACCTCGAGACAAGTGCTGGGCATAGAAGCCACAGGGCATAAATCTGCAAAGAAGTAAAAAGCTAACCTTTGCAAACAATATGGCTTCTCTCTCACTTACCAACTTTACATTTCCCTGTATGGCCCCGGAAGATGACTGGTTAGCCAGAGACGGGTAAGATTCCTCAAGGGAGGAACAACCTAAGACAGGCACAGTCGCAGGGGGGCCATCAGGTGAGAATTTGGGGATCAACAGAGGTGAGGCTCAGAACCTCACCCCCCCTGCTTTGAGAGAAATCTTCTGCATCCGTGGATGTCTTGCTGCCCTTGTCTAGCCTGGATTAATACTTAGTCCATAGGCACACACCTGATCATCTGATCATCTACATTTGCCCTCTTACAGCACTAAACTATGTTTTCTACCTTTATCTTGCATCTACCTACCACTTCAGCATTTTATTAAAAATAATAATAATAATAATAATAATAAGGGAGAAATGTGGGATTCACATATAAATCATGTATAAAAATCAAACAAATAATCATATCTGACTTGATTGTTTATAGTTCATGATGCGTGATCAAAACCAAAAGTTTCTGTGATATGACTGCCCTTGCACTGTTCACCATCTAAGAACTTATTCACTATGTAAGACCTTGTTTTCCATGTAAGAACTTGTTCTTTATGCTTCAGAAGATTGGAGACTGTTGAGAATTAGGCTTGGGGTTGAATGATGATTGTGCATTGAGTCCCCTATACAGAATTTTATTGTTGTTAACAACCATTTGATCAATAAATATGAGAGATGCCGTCTCAAAAAAAAAAACTCAACAACAAAAAGACAAATAACTCAATTCAAACTTGGGCAGAGGATTTGAATAGACATTTCTCCAAAGAAGATATGAAGGTGTCCAACACATGAAAAGATACTCAGCATCATTAGGCACTAGGAAAATGTAAATCAAACCACAATGAGATACCACTTCACACTCACTAGGATGACTGTAATTTTAGATAAATAAGTAAATGTTGGTGCAGATGTGGAGAAAGTGGAACACTTGTACATTGGTGGTAGTAATGTAAAATGGTGCTGTCATTGTGGAAAACAGTTTAGTCATTCCCAAAAATTTAAACAGAGTAATGATACGACCCATAAATTCTACTCCTAGGTATATACCCAAAAACACTGAAAACAGATAGTCAAATACTTGTACATGAATGTGCATATTAACAGTATTCACAATAGCTGAAAGGTGAAAACAATTCACCAAATATCCTTCATTGAATGAGTGGATAAACAAGTGGTGGTATTATACAATAGAATATTATGTGACAATAAAAAGGAATGAAGTACTGATTTGATGCTACAACAAGGATGGACCTAGAAAACATTATGTGTAGGAAGGCAAACTCAAAAAGCCCAAATATTATATGGTTAAATAGTTAAATTATCCTACTACACTGCTGGTGGGAATGTAAATTAGTTCAACCATTGTGGAAAGCAGTATGGAGGTTCCTCAAAAAACTCAAAATAGAAACCATTTGACCCAGGAATTCTACTCCTAGAAATTTACCCTAAGAATGCAGGAGCCAGTTTCACAAAGACATATGCACCCCTATGTTTATTGCAGCACTATTTACAATAGCCAAGAAATGGAAGCAACCTAAGTGCCCATCAGTAGATGAGTGGATAAAGAAGATGTGGTACATATACACAATGGAATATTATGCAGCCATAAGGAGAAAAAAATCCTACCATTTGCAACAACATGGATGGAGCTAGAGTGTATTATGCTCAATGAAATAAGCCAGGTGGAGAAAGACAAGTATCAAATGATTTCACTCATCTGTGGAGTATAAGAACAAAGCAAAAACTGAAGGAACAAAACAGCAGCAGACTCACAGAACCCAAGAATGGACTAACAGTTACCAAAGGGAAAGGGACTGGGGAGGATGGGTGGGAAGGGAGGGATAAGGGGGGAAAGGTGCATTTTGATTAGTACACATAATGTAGGTGGGTGGGTACGGGGAAGCCAGTATAGCACAGAGAAGACAAGTAGTGATTCTATAGCATCTTACTATGCTGATGGACAGTGACTGTAATGGGGTATGTGGTAGGGATTTGATAATGGGGGGGAATCTAGTAACCACGATGTTGTTCATGTAAGTGTGTATTAATTATACCAAAAATAAAACAAAATTAAAAATAGTTAAATTAGTAATTTTATGTTATGTGAATTTTAACACAATCAAAAATAATAATAACCCTCCAATAGAAAAAAATAAAGAAGGAAAGAAAGAAAACTGTTCAAGATTAATGGAGACTAGAGAGATGTGACAACTAAATGTCATTTATGATTGTAGATTACATCCTGAATTAGGAGAAAAATAGGTATGAAGGAAATTATTGGGACAGTTGACTAAATTTGAAAATAGATTGTGGATTACCTAATAGTATATATAAGCATTAAATATTCTGGTTTTACTAAATTTATACTGTGGTATGTAAGAGAATGTCTTTGTTCATAGGAAATATATACTGAAATATTTAAGTATAAAGGGGCATATGTCTCCAACCTTCAAAATAGTGCAGAAGAAAAATATATATGTATAATGATACCTCAATAGGATATATGTAAACTATTGGTGAATCTGAGTAAAAAATATATGAGGGTTCTTTATATGGATCTTTCCACTTATCTGAATTTAAAATTATATAAAGATTAGAAGTTACTAACAAAATTAAGTTTGTTTTTTGTTATCTGCTAAGCAGCAGTGTAGTCCACATGATTGTTAGAAAAATAATGTTTGGTATGTTTATTTGGCTTAGCCACCTTGTTTCAGTCTGTCCTTGGACTTTGGTCTGTTTCTCAACTTCTGAATTCCTGTATATTATTTTTTACTTATAGCAATTTCTCTATGAAGATTATTATGTAATTAATATGAAGTACTCAGCTTCTATACACATTCTGGCTAATAATTCCCTTGGGAGCCTATTTCACATTTTGTATATTTTTTCTAATTCACATGCTTTACTTTTACAGTATCTTGGATAATGTAAAAAACGTAACCATTTGTTTCTTTTATTCTGAGAAATTAAAATATTAACTTGCCAGTTAAAGTCTTTGCTGCTCTAGTTCTCATTGAGTAGCTTTTTTGTCTGAACTTTGTCTTCAGTGTCTTGGTAGATGATCATGTTATATGTGATCTAACCTTAATTTAAACATTTTGGACTATGTATTCACTTTTGTCATCAACTTAAAGAAGTAATCTCTACCTACTGAAGTAAGACCCTGCTTACTGTCCACCACGAATGAGTCAGAGTAGCCCTTTCCTATGTAGAATCTGCCATCAAAACTTTGTAGTACTTTGTTTGCTTTCAACTATGGATTTTTACTCATCTGTAGTTACCCTTCCGTGTGAACAAGCAAATATCCAGTAGAGGCTATTTTGGACTAGTTTACTAAGAAGATCATGATGATTCATTTGGTGCTTGTTTTCAACTGGTTAACCAGTTTTCTTTCCTTTATGGTATATGATGGGATCTCCACTAGACAGAGGTAACCTGTTGGATAATTGTGTACGTGGATGCTGGTGTGATGGTGCTTGTTTGGTTTAGTTTTCATGATACTCCTCCTGAGGTCATGTTTGCATTGTTGCTTCTTATTTTGTTGTTCGCATGACATTATTTGATTGCGCTTTGTTGGTTTGGGTTCTTAAAACCTACTTCTTTTTTGGTACCCAGAATAATTCCTTGAATATCTTTGGTTGGTCCAGAACTTATGGAAATTAGTTCAAAGTCTACCAGTAGGTTTGTGGTTTAGCTAGGAATTGAGGAAACAGGATAGGTTTATTTCAAGACCCAGGAAGAGACCACTTGCCAGACAGACCATCACTGAAGCTGAGAATTAAGTCTCTCTATGAGCTTTATAGATTAAAGAAAAAATGAATATATACTTAGAAGGAAGTCTAAGTTTTAGGAGAGTTTTATCAAATAGCTGAAATTTAGGAGCCTCCACCAAAGTAACAGTAAATATAATTAAGTTCATGCCTCAAGATTGGTGTGCATGTCTGATTTTCAATCATATTTCAGAGATGCTGTTTACTCTGCAAACTGTTCTGCATTCCAAAAGTAAAACTCTTGGGGGTCATGAGGTAAGAATTTGAATTAGTATTTTAGAAATTAGTTTTCTGACATTAGTGTGAGCCTTGGAAATAGTTGCTTATCTCTTCATTTCTAATCACTAGTAGTATAGTGTTTCCTGGGCAATTAGCTGATTTCATTTGATCAGATTAAATTGATTTCATTTTATTTTTTCATTTGTTTGTTTTAGATATTTTCCTACTTTATATATCTCTATAGAAGAAGGTGAGTTGTTTTTAAAACTAAGAAACAAAGCCAACCCTGAAGTGGGCTTATATATGTTAAGTAGCAGAAGTTCATAAAATTGAAATTATTTTCCATTGTTCATATTAAGCCAGTGTTGACACAAATAAGTAAAATCCTCTTCTGTCTTTGCAATTTAATATCTTGAAAACTGTAAAGGATCCATTAATTTGGAATGGCCATCAGGGAAATGCTTATGATAAACAGCATAAAACTGTCAGATAAGTGGTGATTCATATAACTATTTCTGTTCTCATTCTGTTATATCTTCTTTTTATCTTTTGGTGGGACCCATACGTTTAATAGAAAATTGCCCAGGAACGAGAAAAATTTGCTGATGAAGGTAGTATATTTTATACCCTTGGAGAATGTGGACTCATATCCTTTTCAGACTACATTTTCCTTACAACTGTTCTCTCTAGTAAGTATAAACTTCTTTTTATTCATTTATAGGGAGTATATAGAACTGTAAAGAGTTAAGTTGATTGAAGGGGGAAACAAGACATGTTTGTAGAGTTAATGAATTATATGTTACATAAAATTTCATTTTTGGGGGGTTCTTTATAACTTGTATGTACAACTATGTGAGAAAAAGGAAGAAAGAAAGTTTCAAGGTGAGTACAAAGAAAAAAAGCAACTGTGAACTTACACTTACCTTTAAATATTTATATTTGAAGCACTGTATTCTGTCAAGATAAATTATGTATTGCCTGCTCCTATAGCCTTCACTAATATGTCTGCTTCCGTAGTAAAACACATACTGATCTATCATTTCCCAACTAAAGAAGAAAATGTGCTTGGTTGTTCTAATTGTGTTGAATGTTCACTTTTGAATCTGGGAGGATTCCTTCTGAAGACACACAATCCAAATCTGACTCATTTACAGCACTGATGAATCTGATATTTTTAAGCTAAACAATTTGGTCAGTTAGTATGTTACTCCATTTCTTAATATTATTTCCCTTTCGTGTGACTTTTTTAACCTCTTGGAAAAGCAAAACAAATGTATGTTTCTAGCTGTCTGTATATACTCTAGTAAAACCTACCTAAATTCAACCAAGGAGATCTGATTTGTATGTTTGAAAGAGGTGATTCTCAGTTTTTGTCCATCTGGAACACACCAAACCAAAAGAAGTCTCTTCCTTCCTTTCTCTAGGCTAGTCATCTGTAAGAATAAAACTGTAGGGCAGTTTTTAATAAATGACACATGCAGTTCCTGCCATGGATGTGAGTATTTTCACACTTACTCTCTCCGTTGATAGGAAAATGAAGAAATACAGACTGATGTACCTTACCCTTGCCTGTCTTTGTAATACCAGTGTCTCAATAAATTCATGTGGTGTATGAGTACTCTAGCAATGTAAATCTACATTGATTGACTTGTTATGAAGATCCAAAATAGTAAACTAAATAAAAGCACATTTGTGATCTTAAATCGTGTATTAAAGTTTTCGACAGGATGGGGATTTTCAAAATAGGCATCAGTTCAAATCCTGGCCCCACCACTTCTTAGCTTTGTGATTAGGGGCATGTCAGTGGGTTTGTTCATCTGTTTTGTCTGTAAAGTGAAGATGGAAATAATACCAAACCCAAATGATTTATATGAGAATTATGAGATCATGAATATAAAGTACCTAGTTCAGTGTCTAGTATTTAATAGGTATACAATCTGTCTGGGCTTTTATTCTTGATATCCTGAAACAACATGTTATTTCTTATCCATAAATCTGGTCATTTAAAAAGAAAAGAACAAAACTGGTGTGGATATTTAAAACTTTTTTGTGACTTTGGATAGAATTCACATTAAATGGGTAGGATGTATCCAGAAGAGTACTGCATTAAATGAAGGGACACCGACTTGGGGAGCTGCATTGATGTATAATGTATACTGTGGAAGTAGTCCCAAGTGAATGTTTGTTGAGCTATTGAGCTGAAATGGGATTTTAACTTGTATCTACCACTTAGTCTTATTACTTCATGCCTTTCTAACTGTCAGAAGGACCACAAAGCAGAACTTTCAGAATACCTGGCACATTGTGTTGCTCCTGTAATTCAGCCATTTAAAAGAAGGTATTTAAAAAATCACATTGATCCATGAATTCTGGGAACCTCTCCAAGTAGTTCTTCTGGTCGAGGCACCTTTACTTCTTGGTGCTCAGCTCATAGCTTAAACATGGTGAGTGACTTACAAAAAGTGCCTAGCATTTCAATATCATATACTTTCTATATTTGTCAGGAATGAGAAAATATAGGAAAGGTATGATTTTAAGATATTCTTTTTATCACCGGGTTCAAGCATTCTGATTGTTACATGCCTTTAGTGTTTCTCAGTCATAACACTATTGAGCTTTGGGGCAGGAAAATCATTGTGTGAGAGCTTTCCTGTGAATTGTAATTTGGCACCATTCCTTGGCCTCACCTCACTAAATGCCAGTAGCGCACCCCCTCCCCTCCCAGTTGTGACAATCACAGATGTCTTCGGAACCACCGGATGTCCCCTTGGGATGAGAATGGGAAGGAATCAACCCTGGTTGAGAGACATTGATAGAGTTTCTGGAAGGTTTTTTATTACTATGTGTGCCTTGATGTAGTGTTATTTTTCTTGTCTTAGGGTTCTTTGAGCTTTTGGGGTTTGTTGATTTACAATTTTCATCCAATTTGTAAAAAATTCAGCCATTATTTCTTCAAATCCTTTTTCTGTTTCTCTTTCCACTCCTTTGGGGACTCTCCAATTACAAATCTATTTTCCTCACATTAACCCCTCATGTTAACCTCACATTAACATTTGTACTATTATAACCTTCATTTTACAGATGAGAAATTGAGACATACAGGGGGTTACATACAGAAAACTGGCCTCAAGTCCCACAGTAAGTAGATAATTCAGGGTTGAACCAGGCTGACTCCAGCATTTAGACTCCTGTTTCTTGGCTTTAACTGCTGCGGTGACATTTTCAGCAGTGACAGCCATAACTATAGTGCCTCTTCTTTCTCAATGGCTGGGCTGTGGAAAGGCTGGTCATAAACTGTCCTGTAGAAAATGGGCAGTTCAAGCATCCCTGCAATCTAGACATTGCACACTGCATTATCCACTTTAACTAACAAGCCACAGGAGGAAATGTGCCACAGAAATTTTACAGAATCAGGTGTTTCCTGTGTCCAAATTGCTTACTGCTAGGACAGTAGGAAATGAGGCACTCAGTGAATCAACTTCCTTGTTGGTAAAAAGGGATCACTACTATCTAGATACCCTAAATGATTCCCAAGTCATCCTGCAAGAGAGAAGACAATTCTTTAAATACCAAGTTTTGCTGAGGAGTGGTTTGAACCTAGGGGAAGTTCATTAGCATATTCATCAATCTATTACTCTCGTGGACAATAGGGGTCATCCATGAGATTCCAGCTGAAAACCAGCCAAAGCAATGCAAACAGCATAACTCAGATAATGCAGGACTGTCATATTTCTAAATAGCTGGGTTTTTTCTGCAAATTAATGGACTCAACAGTGTTCGAGAAATTGCTTTCATTTTGAAGAACGTGAACACACTGCCCAAATGGATTGACATTCGGAATCTCAGAGTACTTTAGGAACTCACTGTGTTGTCTAAAATAAAATTTGACAGCTGTATGTGAATAATGTTTACTTTCTCAATTTGGAATTACCTCTCCTAAAAATAAAATAAAACTTTTTCTAAAAAAGCAAGTTATGCAAGATAATTTCCCCCATTTCATTTTTAAACTTTTTATAAGTTTAATTTTTAGCTAAACAAGAATTTATTTTACACACTCAGAATAACAACCAATTTGGCAGCAGTAATAATCAATGGCATGGATTTCTCACACTTCTCTATATGTCCTTTGGATAATGGGACCTCCTTTGCCCAACCTAAAATTTTAAACACTGTCTCTCATTCACTCACACACATATACACCTCCTAAACCCCTTTCATGCTTTATTTTTTCTTCTTGGCACTCATCAGTGTTTAACTTTCTGTGTAACCAACTTGTTTATGTTATTATTTAGAATGTAAACTGAATGACAGTAATCACAGGTTTGTAAAGATATTCACTACAAATTTCTAATGATGTTCACTGAAACATACCTACTGTATATAAAGCACTGTGGCTAGGTAACAAAGCAAGAATAAAATTTTTTTTCCAATTTTCTCCTAAAGGAAGTTTAGCAAACTTAACTTGACTTTGCTGTTAATATCCTAACTTGAGGACAGTCCTTGTAGATGTTGGTATCTTTAATCTGCATCCAGTAACATTGGATTAAATGAAACATGTTTAAATTAATCTATTTCCAAACAAGTTTAGTCTTTTAATTCAGAATTCATATGTATTTATCCCACCCTTATTCCTAATTTGTAAATTCTGTTGCTTTATACCCCATCTCTCTGATCAGCTTTGATGGATTAACTTGAAGAATTCTCAACATGAGAATGTACTAAGTAGAATATTAAATATTTACTAAATAACCACCCATTAATAAAATAAATTCAGATTCATTCTAGGCAAGATGAAGATGCTGTTAATAATTACTATTATTAAATAATTTCCAAAGAGCCTCTAATCCTTAAAGTAGATTAATAGGAATTGAATGAGACTACAGAAACCTGATAATTAATGGCTTAATTTTGTACACTAACCAACAGCAACATCAGCTGATGGTCTTAAATCTTGTAATAGAAGTCAGAGATTTTTCTCCATGACTAGTTACAGAGAAGGGTTGTCAAGATTTATCTAGAATGCTACATATTATTTATTGATTTGTATCATTCTTGCTAATGCTAAGATTCACTACATATGATAATATAACTTAGAACCTGGATCTTGGCCTAATTTTTGAATTATGAAATATTTATTTTGTGCCTTGTCTTCCTATGTGTTCTAACTAAAATGACTAGCCCTGTGAGCTAATGACATGAAAACAGTTCTGGATAGCTTACAGAGGCAATAATACAACAATTACAAAAGTTGATTATCAAGCATCTTATTATTATTTACTATTAATCTTTGAAAAGCCACTAGAAAAATCAAAGGAAAACATGCCACGGCATATTCATTCAGTACCTGGGAACAGACCTAATGAAACCAAGCATAATTCAGTGTATTCTGATTTTGATTCCCTCTTTTAGTTTTGAGTAATCAGTGGAAATTGAATTAAGTGGGTTTTCACTGTAGCAGGATTTGATTTACGGACAGGTAAACCACATCCCCATTGTGATGCATCTTTCTCACAAAACTTTTGAGAAATTACATCATTCAAGTGAAAGTTTATATTTTATTTATCTTGTCATACTGAAGCCAAGAGCAGATCACAAAGTGTGTATGACTTGGAGATAGTGATGCTGATAAGTGCCATTCCATCTAAGGATAATGCTACAGAAATTATAAAGAAAATAAGTTTTTTGGATT